AAATCACGGCACATCATTATCCTTCGTGCATTAACACTCTTAAATTCGGCACGACATCACCATTCGTCCATTACACTCATTCACAATATCATGCACGACATCACCCTTCGTCCATTACACCCATTCACAATATCATGCACGACATCACCCTTCGTCCATTACACCCATTCACAATATCATGCACGACATCACCCTTCATGCTTTACACTTTTCCTTACCCAAACAATAGAAATAATATGTCTCGGCAAGTGAAACAACAATATCACAATAATATCCTGGCAAGAGAATCAACAATATCAACCCTAACATCCCGGTAAGGGATTCAGCTATAACCAATCTCGTTTTCAACAATTAGTTTACAAGAATGAAACTCAACTTGTGCCAATTCTCAACAATAATCAATTACCAAGAAACCTTCATAAACTTTGTTCAACATTAATAATCATCAATTTGAGCATGATCAATACATAATAGAGTCACAACAATCATGATATAAGACTCACGTGCATGCTTGACACCAACGTATATGTACTCGTCACCACACCTATACGTCGTACTCGATACAAACACATAGAAAATAGACCACAACTCTTATTTCCTCAAGCTAAGGTTAGGCCAAACACTTACCTTGATTCCACGGACAATATCAAGCCTCGATTACTGCCTTACCTCTCGGTTCCACCTCTAATCCACTTGTATCTAGTCATAAATTAATTAATAACATCAATAAATGCTAATAAGCCAATTATAATACATGAAAATAGATTTCCCATTGTCTTCCCCAAAAATTCAAAAATCGACCCCGGGTCCGCTTGGTCCAAACCCGAACTTCGGACCAAAGCCCGATTACCCATTCACCTCCGAGCCCGGATATATAATTGGTTTTGGAATTCGACCCCAATTTGAGGTCTAAATCCCCAAATTTCGATATTCCTAAGTTCTACCCAAAATTCCCAATCCCACCATGAAAACCATAGATTCTAGGATGAAATCTTGTAAAAAGAAGTTAAGGAGTGAAAGAAATGAGTTTGAAATCACTTACATATGATTTAGGGGAGAAAGAGTATTTGAAAAATCGCCTCTTATGCTTTAGGGTTTTGAAAAAAATGAAAATGGATGAAAAGTCCCGCTTCTATAGCCCTCATCGATCCGCATAAACGCTAATCGCGGAAAAAGGACAGCGGCCGCGAAGCTCACCGCTGACCGCGAAATATCGAGCGCGACCGCGAAAACTCTGACCTTTCACCGCTGACCGCAAAATCCCACCGAGCAACAGAATCCCCAGTGTGGCCATGAAAATTCATCGCGGACCACGAGACCCCGGTTCAAAGACCTGCAATTCCTGGAATGATGCAGCACATGTCTTTTCATAAGTCTATACACCCCGAAGCCTATCCGCAACTCACCCGAGCCCGCGGGGCTCCAAACCAAACATGCACCCAAGCCCAAAAATATCATACGGACTTGTTCGTGCGATCAAATCATCAAAATAACATCAACAACTTCGAATTAAACATCAAATTCATGAAATCGCTCAAGAACATTGAAATTTCCATTTTCTCAACTATAGGTCCGATTTATACCAAACTAATTCCGATTCTTACCAATTTTCATAGATTCAACTTGATTATTATTTTAAACTTGTACCGAGCTCCAGAACCAAGATACGGGCCCGATACCATCAAGAAATTGCATCATTTCACTTCTAAAATTCTTTATATTTTCTAGCTAACAATTTTTTTAAATTTTTTTTTTCTCCAGCTTGGGACCTAAGGAATTCGATTTCGGGCATACGTCCACGTCCCATATTTTACTACGGACCCTACGAAACCATTTAATCACGGGTTCGGGTCCATTTACCAAGAATGTTGACCAAAGTCAACTTTAACCCATTTTAAAGGCCAAATTCATTATTTTTTTCTAAAACTTCACATAAAAGCTTTTCGAAAACACGCTCAGACTGTGTACGCAAATCGAGGTAAGACAAAAAGAGGTTTTTAAGGCCTCGAGATACAGTTTTGACTTCTAAAACAAGATATGACCTATAGAGTCATCACAATCTGTTTCATGGGTTCCGTCACTGAATTTGCATTCCAAGTATTCTATTTTGGTTCTACTTAACTTGAAAACTTTAGACTCCAAGGTCTATCTCCAAAGCTCCAACCTCGCATTAACTCCACTTCGTGTCTCGTCAATCAACAATATATCATCAGCAAATAGCATGCACCAAGGCACCGCCCCTTGAATGTGTCGCGACAGTACATCCATTGCCAATGCAAATAAAAATGGGCTAAGAGTTGATCCCAGGTGCAGCCCCATCACAATAGAGAAATGCTCCGAGTCAGCTCCCACAATCCTCGCCTGAGTCTTAGCACCATCATACATATCCTTAATCACCCTAATGTACGCCATCAGAATGTCGCTAACCTTCAAACACCTCCATAGAACCTCCATCGAAACTTTATCGTACGATTTCTCAAGGTCAATGAACTCCATATACAAGTCCTTCTTCCTCTCCCTATACTACTCCATTAATCTCTTTATCAGATGAATCACTTTCGTAGTAAAATGCCTCCATATGAATCCAAACTGATTCTCAGAAATAGACATGCACCTCCTCACCCTGGCCTCCACCACCCTCTCCCAAACCTTCATAGTGTGACTCAACAACTTGATACCCTTATAATTATTGCAATTTTGGATATCACCCTTGTTCTTGTACAGTGGGACCATCGTACTCCACTTCCATTCTTTAGGTATCTTTTTCATCCTCAAAATAACATTAAATAACCCAGTGAGCGCTCTCTTCCAAAATTACACCGGATTTGTCTGGCTTCGTCGCTTTGCCCCTACGCATCTTACGCATCGCTGCTTCCACCTCCTCTACCTTAATCCACCTGCAGTGCCCAAAATCCCGCAGACTCTCGGAGTGCTCCAACTCAACCAGCACAATGCTTTTATCCCCCTCCTCGTTCAACAGTTTATGAAAGTATGTCTGTCATCTTCTTCTAATAAGTGCCTCGTCCATCATTACTTTGCCATACTCGTCCTTGATGCACTTGGCTTGGTCTAAGTTACGGGCCTTCCGTTCCCCATCTTGGCCAACCGATACAACTTCTTGTCCCCACCTTTGGCCCTGGGCTCTTCGTACAAACGAGCAAATGCCGCGTTCTTAGCCACCATAACTGCTAACTTTGCTTCTTTTTTTGCCTCTTTGTAACACCCCCGATAAGTCCTTCTTTCCTCCTCATTTGTACTCTCCACTAGCTTCAAATAAGCAGCTTTCCTAGTTTCCACTTTACCTTGGACCTCTCTATTCCACCATCAGTCCTCTTTATGACCCCTAGGAAAGCCCTTCGTGACCCCAAAGACCTCTCTAGCAACTTTCCTAATGCAATTCGCAGTCGTGATCCACATACTAAACGCGTCCCCTTTCTCATCCAGACCCTCATAGCTAACAACTTCTCCCCTAACTCCTAAGCTTTGTCCTTGGTCAAGTTACCCCACTTGATCTTAGGTTGCCTGCACACCACCGTCTTCTTCCTACTCCTCTTCATCTCCAGGTCCATAAATAGGAGCTTTTGCTATTCTCTTCCGAAGAATATTACCTAACTCTATAGACTTCCCTATCAACGTCCCAATATTCTAGGACCCAACTCTCAGCCTAGAGGCTCTCTTATCCCCCTTTCCACCCCTGGACCCTACCCCCATCCCCATCCGAGGACATGACCTTACTCTCACATCATTTACTACCACCACTATAAGCAAGAGGTATTAGGTAATCATTACCAATAAGAACAAATAGCGGGAACAAATGAATACAAACTAGGAATCTGAGAGCTAAAAACAACTCAAAGGCACTACTATGAGAAAAGTACGCAAGCAGTCACTAGAACAATGAATCTACCACGTCTAAGAAACTACCGCTATGCAAACAAAGAATTAAAAGGGATAGACGAAACCTTAAGCTTAAACCACTAGTTGTAAAAGATAGAAAAACAAGCAAGTGTTGTCTACCGAAAGCAGTCAATCCAACTACGGGTTACCGTCAAGGCAGCCAAAACTAACAGATGTGTACACAAACAAAAATTGCCGACAAGGCAACAGTAAAGAGATGTGCGCAAATACAATTCAAGAAAGATAGAACATGGATTATATTCGGAGATGTCCAGATGCGCTTCCCAATTCGCTGTATGTTGCTGCCTCCCGAACCCGTGTGCTTAAGCCTGAGTACAATTGTCTATCCCGCCCTGTCCAAGATATAAGACAAAAACCACAAATTGCCTGGGTCGCCGCCTAGGGCGACTGGTACGGGCAATAAAATGGGGCAATGTAAGAAAGGAGAAAGAGCAGAGGAAGAAAGAGAAAAGAAAAGGGATTGTTGGACAATAGCTGTCACCGGCAATTTAGGGTTTGAAAAGATGAGGGAGAGAGACGAGAGTGAAAGAGAAATGGGAGAGAGTAGAGGGGTAATGCCTGGGACCTAAGGCTACCGCCGACAACAGGTTATTCCCGATGACCGGCGACTGACACCAAGAAACATGGAAAGGGGGAAAGGGGGGAAGAGATCGAGAGAAAGAGAAGGGGAGTAGGGAACAAAGAAAAGGGAGAGAACGAGAATAGGAGGAGAAGAGAAAACCTTACCTTACCTGCACCGATACGTGAAGTGTCCCCGGAAAAAAAGTGGCCGACAGAAATTTTTAGAAGCAACATTCTTGAGTGTTAGAGAGAGAAAAGGTCGAGCGTAGGAGCAAAAGTTCTCACGTAAGAATGAATTACCTACCTATTTTCACTTGAAGATAAATTTCGAAATTTTTCGAAAAATTTGAAAAACTCTAAAAGCTATTTTTAAATTTTTTTATTTTAAATTAATTACAAAAATTAAAAAGTCCAAAATTATATTCATATCCAAATAGAGTAATTTACAAATATAGTAGCATTCCCCCTCCCCCTGCTATTTTACCGTTCTTAAGTCTAGACGCCCCCTAATGTACTGATGTGACATAATAGGCAATTTCCCCTAAAACGGCACCTCTAAAATAAAGAAAACACATCCCCATACCCCCTCCTGAACACCTACCTGCTGCTACTACTCTTTCTTCCTCTGGTTCTAGGGTTCTTTCTTCTTTGGCACACCCGTTTACTACTTACCCTTTAATGGATATATACACTGAATCAAATCATTTGTCGATTTATTGAGTCTCTTAGTCTACAATTCTTTGGATCCAAGCATTCATTTAATGACAAATGATTTGGAGAATTTCTGGTCTCTACTGAATTTTAACTTCAGGTATGTTTCATTATTTTTTCTATTTCTGTTATTTATCTATATATAACTATGCAGTTAGTTAAATTTTTGTGTATTTCTATGCTTTTCGTAACTCTGGATCTTAGGTATTTTGAGCCGCATTTTAACTTCCTGTTTGTTTAGTTCTTGAGTTTGTAATTGTTTTTTAATCTTTATTTTAGAGGGCATTTTTTTCTATAGAAAAAAATTAACTCCTTTATCATTTTAATTTTGAATTTTTTAATTGGCATTTCTTTTTATTAAAAAGGAGTATTCTTTCCCTATAGAAGAAATGAGCATAATTTTTTTAATAAATAAAAAAATAGGAAAAGAAATATGGATTTAAGTTGTATACACTTGAGTTGGTAGTAGCAGGTTTTTAAGTGGCTAGATGTGTAAATATTATTTAGAGCGTCAGTGTATAATAATTATACCAAGAAATAAGTACAATAATAGATTTCGAACACAATAAAGCAAATGGGTTGTAGTAGAATTCCAATCTCGAACTCATAATGTTCAAATTCTAGATCTGACTCTGGTCATGTCATCAATGGACTAGGATAGTTCTGTTAAGAAGGAAATCTAGTGATACTAGAAATTGGGGGGGAAAGAGTTGGATGAATCATGAAATTTCTGATTGTAACTTTTCCAGATGTATTTTGTAGTAGAGTTTCAATTGTGTGGTAGAACTTTCAGGTTATAGAAAGTCGGGGGAAATAGTGGACCTAAACTTCCATATTTCTCCGAATTTGGAAAATCATAATAATGGGATTAGGTGAAAACAATAGTTTGATATTTGAAGACATGTCAGTCCGCTTTTGTTGCCATGGCATCTAGAGACGAGTGTAACTTATGACTAGTGGTGGCAAAATGGTTCAAAGAAAATAGTTATCCACCCATATTATCCACTAAAAAATAGGTTGGATAATGAACTTTTTAAAAACGGGTCAAATATGGATAAGAAACATATTATCCATTTAGAAAATGGATAACCAATAGGTAACCAATGGATAACCAATGGGTCTAACTTTTACATTTGTAAAGCCTCATATTGGGGGTTCCTCAAGTTAAGGAGACTAAGAATTCTCCCAAAAGTGATGATATGCAAAAAGTCATGGATGATATAGTTACCCATATTATCTGCCTGTTAACCCGTTTTTTATCCGTATTAAATATGGGCGGGCCGGATAATTTATCCGTTTTAACCTGTTTTCGACCTGAACCATATCCGACCCGACCTGCCCGTTTGCCACTCCTACTTATGACATGATCATGAGATTGTGCATTTCTTTTGTAGTGAAGTTCCTTGGCACTTATTTGTGATGATATTGAAGAACATTGGTTTGCTTATGTTTCTTGAAAGAGAAAAAGAGGCATTTGGAACTATTATGCCCCTATTAAATTATTGCACCCGAATGTGTGACCTAGTGGTCAATGAAGTGGATTGAGAACCATGAGGTCTCAGGTTCAAATCTCAGCGGAGGCAAAACACCAGATGGTTTCTTTTCATCTGTCCAAGCCTTGGTAGATAGAGTTACCCGGTATCTGTGCTGGTGGAGGTAGTAGGTACCCCGTGAAATTAATCGAGGTGCACAAGCTGGTCCGAATACCTGTGTTATAAAAAATTGCTGCTATTAAATTTTTGTACCTCTTTCTTTACAAATAAGATAAAAAGTTATTTACAAATATGTATGCCATGCGCTATCTAAGGCAATTTCAGATTATTTGATTGTTGCCTTAATCTCTCAATTAACCCGGTGGCTGAATCTATGCGGCTGAATCTATCGTAGGTACTGGTACGTCATAATATTTATGTGACCAGCTCAATTCCCGTACCATCAGCAGCATAAAGGTATCGATTGTGTGTCTCCATGTTGCGGGAGGGTTAGCAGAGGCATGGCTTGTGCGATGACCGCCACTCGTCTCAAGGGTACATTACTGGTCTTGTGAAAATTAATATGCTAGACTTCATCTTATTAGAGACATGGGAAGAGAATTTTGGACTTTAACTATGTGCCATCTATTGTAAATGTACTCATGTTCTTGGTGGCTTTCTGTTTTGTCCCCTAAAGAATGGCATCCAACGTGTTGTTACAAAGTATTTTAGCAGACATAATTTAGCTGGCAGTTGTTGAGAGGTTGTACTGATTTTTGGTAGCCTATTCTCATTTTCTTCCTGGTAGTGGCCATTATATTATTCCTTTCTGAATGAAGATGAGCAAGATGCTGTGCTGTAGTTGGTTTTGCCTTGTGGTTTCTTTGTGTCACTGAAAGATCTTTATAATGCTGAAGTTCTGTCAAAATTTCAAGGGTTGTTTTTTTTTTAAATCGGTAAAATTTCAAGGGTTGTTTTACTTAAATTAATTGCATGAAATGACCACTTCCAAGATGCAACTTGATATTGCCCAACTCCTGCTTATGCATGTGCATTTGTTTTCTATCCAGGCCCTTACTTGTTGCATCTGATTGCAGGTTTGTTGAGCCATCAGCTGCTAGTCGTTGCTATCTGGTTGGCCAGCTATCAGAATGTAGTGGCTCTACATGTGCCACATAAAACAGGCGAAACTTCTTCCACATCTGAACTGGCTAGCCCTCCCAAAAGTGGAATCTTTGAACCAATTGAGATACCGCCTGCTGTCATACCTCATTATCCTTTCCCGGTGAAGTCATTGCCACCAATGTACCCTTCGTTTCCGAAGACATATGACCCTGTCTTGACTGGAAGATGCCCTGTGAATTTCTCTGTTATTTCAAGCATCACAGATAAGACAGCATCTGATTGTACTCGGTCTTTGTCAACAGTTGTAGGAAATGTAATATGCTGTCCTCAGTTCAATAGCTTACTCCGCATATTCCAGGGATTTTACAGCAACCATTCTGATACTTTAGTTTTACAAAGTGCGGTAGCTGATGATTGTTTTAGAGATATCATCAGTATATTAGCTAGTAAAGGAGCAAACAGCTCAATTCCTGGCCTATGCTCTGTGAAGTCATCAAATATAACTGGTGGGTCTTGTCCTGTGAAGGACATTGGCACTTTCGAGAAAACAGTGAATACAAGCAAGTTGTTGGAGGCGTGCAGCACAGTTGATACTCTTAAAGAATGCTGTAGGCCTGTTTGCCAGCATGCTATTTCTGAGGCCGTGCTTCAGATCTCAGGAATAAAGACGAGTCATGGTGGTAAGAACATAGTTGGAGTGCCTAGTGAAATTGATACACTTAGTGACTGTAAAGGAGTGGTCTATTCGTGGATTGCAAGAAAACTACGATTTGATGATGCCAATTCTGCATTTCGGTTGTTATCTTCCTGCAAAGTTAACAAAGGTTAGTTTTTGTCACATCTGGCCCTGAACGTGTTTGTGAAATTTTTATTCTTCTAGAAGAACTCATGTTTCTCGTTCTGTTCTATTTGACTATGCTATTTCCTCCAAAATTTGTTATGGTGAACCTGACTCTAATCTCATATTTATATTTTTGTCAACATGGGGTTCGGATGTTTGATTTTTGGCCACTCCGACTGAGACGCATTCAGTAGAAATTTTTCTATCGCCATAGGGGTTAAAATAACAGCCCATGACTTCTAATTGTTAATGGAGCAACAAGCCAACAACAACAACAACGACCCAGTAAAATTCCACAAAGTGCGGTCTGGGGAGGGTAGAGTGTACGCAGACCTTACCCCTACCCCGATAGGGCTGTTAATGGAGCAAGTTTGCCTCAAATATATTGTATGCCCCCTGCCACACATCTAAATGTAATTGTCTATCCAAAACCGAACCAAGGAATACTTTTACGTTCTAATTGAATATATGTGATTTGAAATATATAACACAGGCTGGAATGATGTAGTTGTGGTCATGAAAGCATTTGAACAACTCAAACTTGTGGTCTTTATGAGAATGTTACGGCAAATGTTATTGCACTTAATGGCTAGGTTAAAGCTTTGGCTTAATTCATGGTTTTGACGCATGGTTAATGTTTCTGAATAGCTCTCTTTTTTTAAAGAAATTTTTAATTGTTGCATCATCGTACATGTTAGCCTACCATTGAATAATGTGAATTGCCTTTAGTTTTGTTTCTGGAAATGATTTACTATACAGATTAGATTATTGTAATGCTAACCTTGCATGTTAGCGTTTGAGGATCAAATCTTCTGTCCTTTTTCTTTTGGGATGAAAATTAAATCTTCAGTCTTTCATGCTGATCCTGGTTAGGATGTTGCTTTAGGAACCTATAGGACCTAGCTTTCGAGGGCTCACGAATGATCTTTGTTTAGTAAGATCTGGTATCTTCCTTGTGACTTGTCAGAGCAGTGCTTTCATCCTTTCCTATTTGAACTAAAATTGTGGTTTGAAAATCACAACACTGACTGATAAAACAAATGTATATTTTCCATATTAACCGTGANAAAAAAAAAAAAAGAAAGAAAAATCTATTGGTGACTAAAATATTACTAAATTCCTTTCTACCACTGAAAAAGGGTGCATTCCTTGCAACTGGAGAAGTAAAAAATTCAACTAAGTAATTCTAGTTAGCTGTACAACTTATATAAGCAAGTGCTTATATTTGTCCTTAATTCTTATGGCTTGTGTTACTGTGTCTTGCAAAAGGCTCAATTACAATCTGATCCTGTTATAACTTTTGAATAAATGTGTTTTTTCTTTTGCGCGCTTGGCTTCCAAGGTTCACCTACTCTGTAGAGATATGCCATTTTCGGCTACTTACAAGAAACCTTGACACTTTGCGCATCCTTAAAGTTAATTCCTCCCCCCCCTCTCCCAAAAAAAAAAAGAAAAAAGAAAATTGCACATCCTTAAGAACATAGCTTTATTTTGGATTTTTATCTTCTATTTGCCACAAGTTGGACATATTTTGCCAACTTTTTCTCCTCCATATGAAATTATCCAGTTCTTTCCTTAGAATTAAGGTCAAATAATATGAAATGAAGAAGCAGCTACCTTCGATGGATTAGAGTTGTATATGGTCCGGTTAAAATGGGATTATGCTTGAGATCTAAGTTGCTTGGACTCTTCACTTTCGGTGCTGCACCCATGTCGACATGACGTGAGTGTGGGTGTGGGTGTGTGATCCATACCGGAACTGGTCAACCGATTTTGATTACTTTGGCCAAAATCGACGGAGAAATTCGGCATAGATACAATAATTTTTGAAATCAAAATACAAACTACGGTGAAATTGAAGAAAATAAAATACCTTTTATATAGAAATTTCTATGTCAGTCCTTTTCCTTTTATCTCCTCGGATTCTCCTCTTGATCAATATTTTCTCCTTCTCGGAATACATTGTAAGTTTTTCGCATAATGTCTCATAATATAGACATATTTTTATAACTCTATTTTTAGATATTTGAATTATTTTTAGTCAAATCCCTGCACCCATATTTGTACTTGGATTCATACCCCCCGAATCTTGAAATTTAGATCATGAAGGATCCGACCTCTAGATTCGCACCCATACCGGACACCTGCACCCGAGTCCGAGCAACTTAGCTTGAGATCAGAGATAAGAAGTCATCCACTTGTTGTATATTCATGTCTTTCTTACCCCAAATGAGAAGGATAAACAGTTTGTGGATTATCCACGTTTATCAAAAGTCTAAACTCGAATATTTTCTTAAATCTATTTGTACCTGTGTACCATACCTTCTACAACAACCATAACAAACATGCCTCAAACCAAAACTAGTTCGGGTTGGCTCACACCAGCAGAATTGTACTATTCGTTCTAGCATATTTCAGTTGTGATTAGGGGCATATTTTTAATCATGTTTTCTTTTGGTTTGCAGCGTGTCCCCTGGAATTCAAGCAACCATTAGAAGTGATCAATGCGTGCAGAAATTTAGCCGCTCCTAGTCCTTCATGTTGTAGCTCATTAAATGCCTATATTACTGGGATGCAGAGGCAGATGTTGATTACAAATCAGCAAGCAATTATGTGTGCTGCGGCATTTGGTTCTATGTTACAGAAGGCTGGGGTCATGACAAATGTTTATGAGCTTTGTGATGTTGACTTGAAAGACTTTAGTCTTCAAGGTGATTGTTCATTTTTTAATTTTGTTTTTTAATTGCTTGTTGATTTCTATTCTATTGTTTTTATCTGATGTTCGCTTTCTTTATGATTGGCGTCTGTTTGCAATGGAGCAGCATATGGGCAAGAAGGTACTAACTCTATTATTTTGTATGCTTTTTCATTCTCTGATTTGCTGTTAATAAATATTGGCCCGTGTTTCTTTCTTTAGCATAAAGCACTCAATTTTATAAATTTTCATACGAAGATATTTGGATATAAGTTTTTATTTCTCTCAGAAACTCTGAACTTGTTATGCTATTATACATATCAGTCGTTTCAACCAATATAAGCTCCTAAAGAACTTGGAACTTTTAGACAGATTGAGAAATTGCAGTTTTGTTACTGTTGTAGGACTCCGTATTTCCATCTGCCATAATGGTGTAATAAAGATTATATGGGCTAATTACCGTGGGAGGTAGCAGGTAATTGGTGGAATAGTTGAGGTGCGCGCAAGCTGGCCTGGGTATCACCATCATAATATATTTCTTTTTTAAAATAAAGATATTATGGGCCTTCTGTATCTCATGCCGACGATAGTTATTACCTCTTTCCACAGCCCTGCAACTATTGTTTTATCTAATATTAGCATACATTTAGTACTGTTGGGCTGTGAGTTGAAGTGAGTTTCTTTTTCCATTTTCTCGATAAACTGAATCTAAACTTTCAGCCCTTACTCTTAGTGACGAGAATATGAATAATTGCTCTATGGTACCGTACAAGTATCATGATACCTTAGAGCAGGTTCCCTACAGCTAGCTTACTAGTCATAATAAGTGAGTATTCGCCTTTGATAATTAAGCTACTTAACTCTCTTGCAACAGTGTGCACCCTCACGGATATATAAAGGTGTCATTGGGTTATTTTCAATTGATTACCTGCTGATTTCATGGGATGGGACCATCAAACATAGTTGCTCAATGACGATTTGTAAGAGCATGAATGCAAGGAATTGCCTTGCATTCCTTATATTGTTTAGGGTGAAGAAATACAAAGAAAAGTTAATAATCCTAACAAAAGCAGCACCAGTGCCATCTGCTCTAATAAAGTTCTGTCATTTTTTAGTAGGTTGTCACTGCTTTTAAGCTTGGCAATTTCGCTACTCCCTGATTCACCTATTTAATTCCACAATTTGCATGCATACAACTTATGAGAAGTGAGCACTTGAAAGATTATCCTCTAGCTTAGGGATAGCTGGAATTTTATGCATGCATCTGCTGTTGTTGGTAAGCAAACTGAAATTCGTAACTGCGTTTGACTGAAAAAATAAGTGCAACTGCGTGTTACAATGCCAGTATTTTGTCAGCGTTGCTTTTTGCCTTGTGGAATGCATCTTAGGTTTTCTTGGTGTAGGTTGTACTTATTATGTCATTTAAATTAATTAGCAGGGTGCTTACTTCGAAGTTATCCAGCAGATCTGGTGTATGACAACTCAACAGGTTTCAGCTTTACTTGCGACTTAAATGACAATATTGCTGCTCCATGGCCTTCATCATTGACCGGCACATCTTTTTCTCTATGTGCTCCCGGTAATTGACTTAACTTCACATTAAATTCTCTTTCTGCCAAAGTGAAGCTACTTTTGGCATATAGCTCCATATTAATTATCTTTACGGTAAATAAATGTCTTGATGAATTGCTTCAATTTGCAGAGATGTCGTTGCCGGCATTACCAACATCAGAGACATTAGGAAATTCTAGTGAGTATCTTTCATTTTCAACATTCTTTTGTTTATTCCTGTGATGATATTTGTTTTCAAACGTCATACTAGGTAGTATTTTTTGCTTTCTTCTCAAGATGGAATTGCATTTATCATTTCCCTTGAAAAGTGAGTTTTAGCCATTGGACGACAATTGCATCCTATCAAGTGAGAGACTGAAATAGATTTCTGTTTCTATTATGGATAAAAACTATATAGAACTACATACGCAACTGTCTTTTCATGAAATATTTTGCAAATTCTCCTCCGCTTTTCTTCCTTTTTTCTTGGTAGTGGGGTGGGGGATGGTGTACACTATTAGTGCCATGTTTTGTTCTTTAAGAAAGGTCGTAGTGCCATGTTAATGTAGGAATTACTCTTTTTTTAGGTTATATACTGATGCATGTATTGATGCCGTGATTGCAGGCTGTCCCCGTGGTGGAGTGGATCTCCTTGTGCCCATTCTTTTGTTTTTTGTTTCTATATTGTTTTCAAGAGATTTTCCAGAAAGCTGATCCAGTTTGAATTAGAGCCCTGTAGGTAGATAGTGAATGACCAGATCACGTGTATATATTTGAGTATCCTTCCTTATGTATAGCAGCTCTCTTTTTTGCCAAGTCGATTCATGGTTTTGCAATTAGGATAATCTACAGATTGCTTGCAAGCTTGTCTGTTATACTTCTAATACTTGCTCTGCTATTTTGCCCACGCTGGTGGAGCAAAAGTTGTAAGTCTTAATACTATTAAAAAAAGGAGGGGAAAAACGTGCTGCAGAGCACAACTACCGTCGTCTTCCTGCATGTACGAAAAATTTAGAGTAAAAACAGACAAGAGCAACAAATGAAGAGGTCTGAGTTCTTTCATCCTGTGTTGCTAGATATTATGATAGTACTGTGCTGGATAAAAGCCAAAGAAGAACAATAGTACTTATATTTTCATTTTTTGTTCTTTTTCCACCTTGCTGCTGCTAGGGATTTAACATACTAGAGAAAACAAGAATGAGAAATCCAGTCGGGAAATGAAGTATTCCCCTAGACCTCTCCAGTAGAAACACAAAAATAGAAGGAGACAATTAGTTCTTGAAGATTTAATTTTGTGTCTAAGAGAAATCTGCTATGTTAACAGGTGCATAATCCTTGTACCATCTCTATTATTTAATCCAACGGCTAACTTTGCAGCAAATAATAAGTTATTGTATTTCAACCTTTTCACTGTACTAACTCTCCCTTTAGGTCACTAGCGCTATCTTTTCAGCTGCTTGTTACCATGCAAAGAATTTAAACTTCAATAAAATAACATTGTGATAGATATAATTTATTACTTTTTATTCATATCTTTACAAGCTCAGACAAAGGATGCAAACATAATTGCACATTAGAAATCACCTGAGTAATAATAAACTCAGGCCTTATTGCACACATATGATATGAGTATGTATAGAGATTTTAGTTAATTATTACATTTTTGAGAAGGATGANAGTAATCATAAACTCAGGCCTTATTGCACACATTACACATATGATATGAGTATGTATAAAGATTTTAATAAATCATTACATTTTTGACAAGGATCGGTTAATCTTGGGTTCCAGTACAAATTAATGATCCATCAGTGCGGAAAAGTTTACAACCTTCATCTGCTGTGCAACAGTTGACACATACTGGACTAATTTGCTCATCTCCTGAAGAGGGACAAGTCATGTATGCCACTTCATTATCACAAAACTGGAGACATGACTTGGCATTTACATATTTCACCTCACCAATTCCCAACAGAAATATACCTATAAATTAAAGCACCCAAATCAACACAAAGTAAAGATATAAAATGACATTTTGGCTATATATATATATATATATATATCAAAGAAGCCTTACCAGATAATAGGAGGAGAGAAAGGATACTAGCTTTGTAAAAGGCCATTTTTCTCTGAATGCGCTGATTTGAGGATGTTATCCTCTTAAGCTATTTATTTATAGAGCTAACAAAAGATTACTAAAATACAACTAGGAATGACAATTTCTCATTCCGGATTTAGATAACTAAAATAGTTGTAAAAATGGACCAGATTTTGCGTCAAACGAAACTCAATGCAGCCTTCACATTAGATTGTATCTATGACCTAACTGTTTGAATCTTTTGGTATAGTAAAATAGCACGGGCTAGCCAGTTTTCGGACTGGTCATTCAAAAATAGCCAGCGTTTGCAAAGTCATTGAAAAATAGCCACTATTTTGCTGCAATAGGGACCGGTCCAGCATAATATACTGGAGATCGGTGCATCTATGTATGAACTTCCAGCATATTATACTGAAACTCCAACACGCGAAAGTTTCAGCATAATATACTGGAGATTGGAGCACCTGTGTATGAACTTCCAGCATATTATACCGGACCGGTATATTATACTAGAACTCTAGTATATTATGCTGGAGTTTCAGTATACTTATGCTGGAACTCCATTATAATATACTGGAGTTCCAGTATACTTATGCTGGAACTCCATTATAATATACTGGAGTTCCAGTATACTTATGCTGGAACTCCAATATATTATGTTGGAGTATTTTTCGAATTTTGAACAGTATTTTCGTTCAGATTTATCTTTACATGAAAAGTGGCTAAATTTTGATTACTTTTGAAACTGTGGCTATTTTTGAATGACCACTTGTAAATCTGGCTATTTTTTAATTTATCCCTTTGGTATTCCTTAAAAAAAACACATGTTTAACCAAAAGATTATTCCATCCAGTAATTTAAAATTCATCTTCATCTATCTCCAATATGGAATTTGAATATTACAACTCAAATTTTGAGCCATAATACCACATATTTCGTTTGAGAACATTGTGGGTTTGAGATTGAGATTCACTTGAACATTTTTTTTTCCCTGAAAATATATATTGAACGTCATGTCTCTACTTGCTATTGATTTAGGGTTTAGTCCTCTATATCTCATAATTTTTATTTTTTGTTTTGTTTCATTTGAAGTATACTACTTTTTGATCGTAATACGTTTTTTCTGAAAATATATATTAAATATCTGTAATATTATTAAACCACATTAATTCAAACTTTAAGGAACTATATTGCAAATACTACATCAATGGCCATTGAATTTGTAATACTATACACAATTAAATGAAGTATGTTGACTTATTTCATTCAAATAAGCCATTATCTTTGAACAAGTGATAACCATATAGACACATAAAAAGTCAGACACATAGCGGGGTAGTTTTCCTAACTTTGACCAGAGGTATAATAGAAACCAAGTTAACCTTATCACAACATGTCCAGTTGGATAGATAGACTTATTAATAGATTTTTAAGACTTTTACATCTCAGCAAACTTTAGTTTCGTTGGTGTTAATTTTGGGAATCTTACGAAAAGTCCCAAATAAGTAGTAGCTTACAAACTTCTAGCCATAATTGTAGATTTATTAAAATTAGCCAAACACATACAAAAATTGAAAACTCAAATAAATAAGGATTCTTTCTCTCCAAGAATCACACGTAAAGATTTCCTTCTATATTTTTAAGCGTGATCAACAATATTATCACGACCCCAAACACCCCGATTGTGATGGTGCCTATCACAGTACTAGGCCAGCAGAAACAACACGAACAACATGAGGATCTTTTGTAAAATTCATTTTTCTAAACAGATTAAGTCTCAAATCTTTTATTTTTAAAATATAAAAAAAAAATACGCGGAAATAAGTACGTAAATACATCAACACAGCCCGAATCTGGTGTCACTAGTCATGAGCCACTAAGTACATTCAACACTATCTGCTTAATACAAAATAAGTCTGAAATACAAAATACTGGGATAGGAAGGAGAAAGGCAAGGCTGCAAACGCCGTGCAACTACCTTGCAATCTCCGGATAAGACTCTGAAGGTGCTGAAAGCTCTCACTCTGATGCTCGTGCACCTGGATCTGCACACAAGGTGCAGGGAGTAACGTGAGTATGACAACTCTTTAAGTAACTAAAGTAAATAAAGTCTGAGTGCACTGACGAGCATTTAAAATCATATGCATATTTTATCAAGAATCTCAACAGAAATATCAAAGTCAAAATCTACAGTTCAATAACCAAATACCTTGTAAAAACTCCAGTTTCAATCAAAATCCTTTAAAACATTTAGTCATCATTTTCAATAGAGGCTCAGTATAAAAGGAGAGTGAAAAATAGAAAATCTCATAGACAAGCCCCTCGGGCAATGTATCACTCATAGGTATGGCCTCTCGGGCAAACTTTTCAGTCACTTGTGACTCAGCTCTCGTCAATCAGTACTCACACTCAGCACTCCAGCTCAATAGATATCCCATAATAATAACCGCTGCAGCGTGCAGCCCGATCCATAATATATATAGTCGACTGCACTCACGGGGGGTGTACAGACTCCGGAGGGACTCCTACAACTCAACCGTCATATCGCTGCGGCGCGCAGCCCGATCCAATACATATCGCTGTAGCGTGCAACTCAATCCATATATATATATAAATATCGCTGCGACGTGCAGCCCGATCCATAACATATATAATATCGCTGCGGAATGCAGCCGGTCTATAACATAAGTATAATCCTCACCATTAGGTCCTCAACCTCTCTCAGTCATTAACCTCACGGCCACTCGGGCATGTCCGTGAAAATCAGGGAAACTCAACCCATATAGTTTTCATATATTAAGAAGTAGAGTAATGAAACCAGATTAAACAATAAACAGATAAAACATGACTGATGATATTCTTTCAAATCAAAAGAGTGTGAGGAAAGTAGTAAAATACCCCCAAGGGTCTAAATAGTTCGGCACAAAGGCCCCAAACATGGCATTTAGCCCAAGTTAACAGATTCATTGCTAAAACACATGGATATCATATACAGTATATCAAAATATGCAACTATACAATCGCCACGGGACATACCAAGTCACAATCCCTACAGGTGCATGCCCACACGCCCATCACCTCGCATGTGTGTCACCTCATTTATCAAAACAATATGAAATTTTGGGGTTTCATACCCTCAGGTCTACTTACCTCAAACTAGATGAAATCCTACTCCGCAACGCCCTTGCCTCTCGACTCGGCCTCAACTCACGTCGAATCTATCCAAAATCAGAATCATAACATCAATATATGCTAAGAGAACGAAGCCCATGCAAAAATAATCAAATTACATCAAGAATCCCGAAATTGGTCAAACCCGGCCCCGGGCTCACGGCTCGAAATCTGATAAAAATCACATCAATAGATCCTTATCCTCCCACGAGTCTATACATACCAAGAACATCAAAATCGAACCTCAAATGGCCCCTCAAATCCCCAATTTTATCTCTCCAATTTCAAGCCATAACTTCCCCAATTTTTCACCCTTAATCTCATAAATTTCATACTTATACAACTGAAAATCAACATAGAATTGAGTGTTAGATTCAAGAAACTCACCTCAATGGAAACCTCCTTGATTCCCTCTTCAAAACCCTCTAAAAAGCTTTAACTCTGGATAAAAATGGTGGAAAACAACTCAAATTTTGCGAAGGGGAACTTATATACTTTTGGACCTAGGGATTCCGCACCTGCGGTCCTTTTCCCGCTCCTGCGGTACAGCTTTTGCGGTCTAACCAATTGCATATGCGATTTTCACTTATTCCCTAGAACCGCACCTGCGCCTATCTATCCGCACCTGTGAGACCGCAGGTGCGTTGCACCTCCCGCACCTGCGACTTCTGGCCTTCTCTCATATGGCTGCATCTGCAGCTGATCTTGCATTTCTGCGATCTCGCACCTGCGGTCCCCAATCCGCAGGTGTGGTTATGACAGGGGCAGCAGCTGAAGCTGTACACTTTCAAAACCAAACTTTCCAAAAAATCTTCCGAATCTATCCCGAGGACCCTGGTGTCACACCTCCTTTTTACTACCCCCGAAGGGTATAAGGGAGTTTTTTCCAATTTAAGTGACAATCGAAACGAGATTATTTATTTAAAATTCAGAGCCGCCACTTGGGATAATTTATGGTATCCCAAGTCATCGGTTAAATCCCGAATCGAGGAAAGATTGACTCTGTTTTACAGTCCGTGAACAAAAAAATCCGGGTAAGGAATTTTGTTAACCCGGGAGAAGGTGTTAGGCATTTTCGAATTCTGTAGTTTTAGCACGGTCGCTCAACTGTTATTATTGGCCTATTTATTTGATTTTAAAACATCTTTGAAACCTATGTGCATTTTATTCTTTTAAACCGCTTTTAATAAATTAGTGTTACATATTGCGAATCATGTCACGGGAACCGTACCCACGATCTACAACATGTTTATTTTGTTAACAAAATTAAATTGTGGCCGGGTCACATAAATGTATCCCCGTATTTTAGAAATTAAGTATCACAACTATGTCACGGGAACCGTACCTGTATCCATGACAATTATTTAATTAACGCGCCTAAAGCAACTACGAAAGTTCGAAGCATTTTTCTAGGCTAACTTTGTGAGGGCCATATGTTGTTAATTTTATTTGTGTATGGCGCACCTCAAATTATTTTAAAGAAAAGGTTTGTATATATTTTTAAAGGAAAACTAAAGATATTCCTACTTATCTAATTTAAAAAAACCAAGTACCACAACTACGTCACGGGAACCGTACCCGTAGTTGTGATAGTTTAATTACGTGCCTAAATCAAGCTACGAGGTTCATTTTAAATAGCTAGTTATGATATTTATGAGGGCCGTGGGCTAGGTGATTGGATGACACACCTCAAATTTATTAAAGGAAAAACATTCAACTAAGAACTACGGATATTCATATTTAAAATTAATTCAAAATTAATCATTGCAACTACGTCACGGGAACCGTACTCATAGTCGTGATGTTCTAACTATGCTTAGGGCGAATTATTCATGTCCATCAGCTTACTATTTTCCGGCTATCGTTCTCCACTAAGATCCGTAATACAGTATGCTC